AGAGGATTGGGAGAGGGAGGCTGTGTTTGGGTAGTGCTGGAGATAAGAACCAGAGGTTCCCCCCTAGGCAGTAAGTGTTCTCACGGCTCTCCTCAGCTATCTGTTTGGATAACCCCTGACAGCTGTGTTTATGATAAAGGCCCTAGCACTCACACACTGTAGAACTGCTCACACACTGTAAAACTGCTCACACACTCACTCCTATAGTATATATGTGAAGAACACTGCACTCAGCCTGCTTGGGGTTTGTGTATGAACACGTCACTCGGGCCCTCAGCCTGCTGGGGGTTTGTGTATGAACACGTCACTAGGGCCCTCAGCCTGCTGGGGGTTTGTGTATGAACACGTCACTAGGGCCCTCAGCCTGCTGGGGGGTTGTGTATGAACACGTCACTAGGGCCCTCTGCCTGCTGGGGGTTTGTGTATGAACACGTCACTAGGGCCCTCAGCCTGCTGGGGGTTTGTGTATGAACACGTCACTAGGGCCCTCAGCCTGCTGGGGGTTTGTGTATGAACACGTCACTAGGGCCCTCAGCCTGCTGGGGGTTTGTGTATGAACACGTCACTAGGGCACTCAGCCTGCTTGGGGTTTGTGTATGAACACGTCACTAGGGCCCTCAGCCTGCTTGGGGTTTGTGTATGAACACGTCACTAGGGCCCTCAGCCTGCTGGGGGTTTGTGTATGAACACGTCACTAGGGCCCTCAGCCTGCTGGGGGTTTGTGTATGAACACGTCACTAGGGCACTCAGCCTGCTTGGGGTTTGTGTATGAACACGTCACTAGGGCCCTCAGCCTGCTTGGGGTTTGTGTATGAACACGTCACTAGGGCCCTCAGCCTGCTGGGGGTTTGTGTATGAACACGTCACTAGGGCCCTCAGCCTGCTGGGGGTTTGTGTATGAACACGTCACTAGGGCCCTCAGCCTGCTGGGGGTTGTGTATGAACCAGACTATTGAAGTATGTCTAGATCCAGACATATGGGTGTCTGAAACAGCATCTACAGTGTGTGACTCTAACCTTGTTTACACCTGCTGCTAACATTTGTCCTGTGTCTTGATCTTGTCCACATTCTGATTGTGCCCGGATTTGCGCCTATACATGATGTTATTCAAATGTCTCATATCCGTCCACCGTGTCCACATTGTGACCAGATTTCCTGGTCTCTCCCTGTATGCACATTTTTTATATTAAGACACATGTTGATGCTAGAGGACTGGATAAGGATGTTTTTAAATGGTTTCACTGTCCAGATCCGACTACACTTCTAAGATACCCAGACACAATGCCTGCCTGACTGCCTCAGGAGGTGTCTTTTCATTGTCTATACCGGCCTAAAAATGTGGATCAGATCAGGACGAAGGACGCATGTTAGAAGCAGGTTTAAACGGGGCTTCTGAAGCAGACAATTGAATGTGGATGACACAGTGAATATGAGACGGTCAGCACCCAAAGACAATTGAGACACGTTTTACATTTCAGTCATTTAGCAGACGCTCTTATCCAGAGCGACTTACAGTTAGTGAGTGCATACATTTTTCATACTGGCCCCCCCGTGCTCTACCAAGCGCCGTGCTCTACCAACTGAGCTACACGGGACACCACTAAGAACGTATCTGCAGCCTACAACAACAGAGACTGTGTTTGTCTGTTTGATAGAGGCAGTGTGTGTGGTAGGTGGGTTGGTCTCAGTCATGGTAAAATGTCTGTCTCATTCCCTCACCTCATATCTCCTGCCTACACTCTGGACTATGAAAGCCTGCTGTTGTTATGTACTGGCAAAGGGAGCTGGCTGGTGGGCAGCGGTCAGGGCTGTCAGACAAAAACACACATACACTGAGTGTACAAAACATTAGGAACACCTGCTCTTTCCATTACATAGCTTTCACCGGGATTCACCTGGTCAGTCGATGACCCCTTACTGATGTCACTTGTTAAATCCACTTCAATCAGTCTAGATGAAGGGGAGGAGACGGGTTAAAGAAGGATTGAGACAATTGAGACATGGATTGTGTAGGTGTGCCATTCAGAGGGTTAATGGGCAAGACATAAGATTTAAGCGTGCCAGTTTGAATGTGTCAAGGGCTGCATCGCTGCTGGGTTTTTCACTCTTAAGAGAGTTTCCCGTGTGTATCAAGAATGGTCCACCACCCAGGCCTCCTGAGTGGCGCAGTGGTCTAAGGCGCTGCATCGCAGTGCTAGCTGTGCCACTAGAGCGCCTGGTTCGAGTCCAGGCTCTGTCGCAGCCGGCCGCGACCCGGGAGACCCATGGGGCGGTGCACAATTGGCCCAGCAGGGATGTTCTTGTGCCATCGCGCACTAGCGACTCCTGTGGCGGTCCGGGCGCAGTGCACGCTGACTCGGTCGCCAGGTGTATGGTGTTTCCTCCGACACATTGGTGCGGCTGGCTTCCTGGTTAAGCGGGCACTGTGTCAAGAAGCAGTGCGGCTCGGTTGGGTTGTGTTACGGCTTCTCGACCTTCGCCTATCCCGAGTCCGTAGGGGGAGTTGCAGCGATGGGACAAGACTGTAACCTACCCAATTGGATACCACGAAAAAGGGGGTAGAATACCAAAGAAAAGAACGGTCCACCACACAAAGGACATCCAGCCAACTTGACACAACTGTGGGAAGCATTGGAGTCAACATGGGCCAGCATCTCTTTGGAATGCTTTCGACACCTTGTAGAGTCCCATGCCCCGAGGAATTGAGGGTGTTCTGAGGGCGAAACTCAATATTAGGAAGGTGTTCTCATTGTTTTGTAGACTCAGTGTGTGTGTATATATATATACACACACACACACACACACACACACACACACACACACACACAAAGAGATGGATGGAAGAAGAGAGAGGGAGGAATAAATTACAGAAAGAGGAGGATGAAAACAGGTCTTTGTAATGGAAATTAGTTTGTTTTTGAGCTTTCGCATCATACTTGTTTATTCAGTTAGTTGAATAATCAGTTTAATTACATTTCTCTCTATCCATCCTTCTCACACACTCTCTCTCTCTCTCTCTCTCTCTCTCTCTCTCTCTCTCTCCTCTCTCTCGTCTTGCATTCAGGGAGAGATAAAGGGATTTAAACAATCATGAGAAGCTGCTCAGCTCAGTGCGTGTGTGTATGTATGCATGTGTCTGTGTGTGTATAAGCCTATAATAGCTATTAATATTTAAACAGCAGCCGCATAGTGAAGCTGCATAGTGAAGCTGTATAGTGAAGCTGCATAGTGAAGCTGTATAGTGAAGCTGCATAGTGAAGCTGTATAGTGAAGCTGCGTAGTGAAACTGTATAGTGAAGCTGTATAGTGAAGCTGCATAGTGAAGCTGTATAGTGAAGCTGCGTAGTGAAACTGTATAGTGAAGCTGTATAGTGAAGCTGCGTAGTGAAACTGTATAGTGAAGCTGCGTAGTGAAACTGTATAGTGAAGCTGCATAGTGAAGCTGCGTAGTGAAACTGTATAGTGAAGCTGTATAGTGAAGCTGCGTAGTGAAACTGTATAGTGAAGCTGCGTAGTGAAGCTGTATAGTGAAGCTGCGTAGTGAAGCTGTATAGTGAAGCTGTATAGTGAAGCTGTATAGTGAAGCTGAGTAGTGAAGCTGCATAGTGAAGCTGTATAGTGAAGCTGGTAGGGGAACTGCATAGTGAAGCTTATAGTGAAGCTGCTAGTGAAACTGTCGTAGTGAAGCTGCGTAGTGAAACTGCGTATAGTGAAGCTGCGTAGTGAAGCTGCGTAGTGAAGCTGTATCGTGAAGCTGCTCACTTTGAAGAACTGTCTTTCTTCTCCTGTCTCCTCCCCCTTACTCCCCCTCCAGCTCCTCCCCCTTACTCACCCTCCACCTTCTCCCCCTTCCTCACCCTCCACATTCTACCCCTTCCTCACCCTCAAGCTCCTCCCCCTTCCTCACCCTCCACCTTCTCCCCCTTCCTCACCCTCCACATTCTCCCCCTTCCTCATCCTCCAGCTCCTCCCCCTTCCTCACCCTCCACATTCTCCCCCTTCCTCATCCTCCAGCTCCTCCCCCTTCCTCCCCCTCCACCTTCTCCCCCTGCCTCACCTCCACATTCTCCCCGCTCCTCCCCACCTCCAACTCTCCCCCTTCCTCACTCCACTCTCCCCTCCTCACCATCCTCCCCCTTCTCACCCTCCCTACACCCTCCTCATCCTCAAGCTCCTCCCCTTCCACCATCACCTCCTCCCTCAAATCCCATCCTCCCCCTTCCTCATCCTCCAGCTCCTCCCCCTCTCTTCCTCCCACCCTCCCCCTCTCATCCTCCCTCCTCACCCTCCTCCTCCCCTCTCTCCCCCTTCCTCACCTTCCTCACCTCCACCTCATCTCCCCCTCCACCGCCTCCCCACCTCTTCCTCCTCCATCCTCCCCAGCCTCCACCTCTCCTCCATCCAATTCCCCGTCTCCATCTCTCCTCTACTCCCTCCTCCCAAGAAAAACGAAGAGTACGTGGCTGACATTGATGTTAGGGTTAAGGGTTTGGTTAAAGCTGCAATATGTAACTTTTTGGGCGACCCGACCAAATTCACATAGAAATGGGAGTTATAGATCTGTCATTCTCATTGAAAGCCAGTCTAAGAAGCGGTAGATCTGTTCTATGTGCGCTATTTCTATGCTTCCCATTCTTAAGTTTCGTTTTTGACTCTTTTACTTTCAGTTTTGTACATCCAGCTTCAAACAGCTGAAAATACAATATTTTTGCTTATGGAAAAAATAGTTCACAGTGGTTTAGATGGTACAATGATTCTCGACACTGACTGCTTGTTTTGACACATAAACTGAAATTAGGCAAACTATTCAAATTTTAGCAACCAGGAAATGGCAGAGGGATTTCTGCACAGTGCACCTTTAAGGTTAGGCTTAAGGTAAGGGTCAGTTTTAGATTTTGGCTTGTCGGGGATGCTGGTCAGTCAATGGGATGCTGGTCAGCAAATTTCCCTTTAAACATTAAAGTATTAATTAAACTACATTCAAGCATTCTCTTCCCAGGCCCAGCTAGAGGCCCAGAGGGCAACGGGGGAGTTCCAGCGTGCGGTGGAGATCCTGCGGGCGGCTAAAGAGACCATCGCCCTGGCAGAGGAGAGACTACTGGAGGAGGACAGCAGACAGTTTGACTCAGCCTGGCAGGAGATGCTCAACCACGCCACCAACAGGGTACTGATGGGATTATATTTAGAACTAGATAAAAACATTATCTTAGGACAGGGGTGGGTAACTCTTGGTCCTGGAAAGCCACAGTGTGTGCTGAACCTGATTAGGCATTAGTAGTAGTAGTAGTAGTAGGTAGTAGTAATAGTAGTGTAGTAGTAGTATGTAGTATGTAGTAGAGTAGTAGTAGGTAGTAGTATAGTAGTAGTATAGTATAGTAGTATAGTAGTAGTATGTATAGTAGTGTTAGTAGTAGGTTAGTAGTAGTAGTGTAGTTAGTCAGTGTAGTAGTGTATAGTGTAGATGTAGTAGTAGTAGTTAGTAGTGTAGTATGTAGTAGTGTAGTAGTAGTAGTAGTAGTAGTGGTAGTAGTGTGATAGTAGTATAGTAGTAGTAGTAGTATAGTAGTATAGTAGTGGTAGTAGTAGTGAGTATAGTAGTAGTATAGTAGTAGTAGTATAGTAGTAGTAGTAGTAGTATAGTAGTATAGTAGTAGTGGTAGTATAGTAGTAGTATAGTAGTAGTAGTAGGATAGTAGTAGTAGTATAGTAGTAGTATAGTAGTAGTAGTAGGATAGTAGTAGTAGGATAGTAGTAGTAGTAGTGTAGTAGTAGTAGTAGTGGTAGTATAGTAGTGGTAGTATAGTAGTAGTAGTATAGTAGTAGTAGTAGTAGTATAGTAGTAGTATAGTAGTAGTATTATAGTAGTAGTGTAGTAGTAGTAGTATAGTAGTAGTAGTAGTAGTAGTAGTAGTAGTAGTAGTAGTAGTAGTAGTATAGTAGTAGTAGTATAGTAGTAGTATAGTAGTAGTAGTATAGTAGTAGTAGTAGTAATAGTAGTTATAGTAGTAGTAGTAGTATAGTAGTAGTAGTAGTAGTAGTAGTAGTAGTAGTAGTAGTAGTAGTAGTAGTATAGTAGTAGTAGTATAGTAGTATAGTAGTAGTAGTAGTATAGTAGTAGTAGCTTGATCTTGGTGGAATAGATAAAAGCACACACACACCATAGACTGACTCTGCCACCTTATTGGCTGTTGCAGGTGATGGAGGCGGAGACGACGAGGACTCGTAGCGAATTAGAGCACAGAAAGATGGCGAACCACTACAACGCCTGCATCAGTCATATGAGACAGCTGGAGAAGAAACTCAAACGCACCATCAACAAGTCCAGGTGCGTGTGTGTGTGTGTGTGTGTGTGTGTGTGTGTGTGTGTGTGTGTGTGTGTACGTATGAAGCTGTGTGTGTGTGTTTTGGTCCTGTTACTGTGACTGACTGCTGAGAAGAGAGAGGAATGCATAAACCAACTCAGCCACCCCTATCTCAGGCCTCTCATTGCTCAATGTGTGTGTGATGTCCTCCAGATGTTAGCTGAGTAGGCCTGTGGTGTGTATGTGTGTGTGTGTTTGGGCGTAGTGTGTGTGTATATGTGTGTGAGTTTGGTCATAGTGTGTGTGTGTGTGTGTGTTTCCCTTCGAGGGCGTGTGGAATGTAGCAGTTCTTGGAGGTGCAGTGTTATTTTTCCAGAGGTTCATGGTTGCTATGACGACTATACAGCACCATGTCAGAACTACCAACTCTCTCTCTCCTGCCCACCCTTTCTCTCTCTCCACCTACAGGCCATATTTTGAACTGAAGGCGAAGTACTACCTACAACTGGAGGTATGTACAGTGTTCATTGTTTCCGAACAGACAGTAACTTGTTTGTGTGTGTAACACCCCATACTTTCTTCTCTCTCTCAGCAACTAAAACATTGCGTAGACGAGCATCAGGCGAAGCTGACCGTTGCCAAGGCAGACTACCGCACAGCGCTGCGTAACCTAGAGACCATCTCTGAGGAGATCCACGCCCGGCGACGCTCCGTCACCATGGGAACCAGAGGGAGGGGTGTGGGGGCCGAGGGGGATGGAGGCCATGAGGACATCACCAACTTCAAGATGGAGTCAGACGGACTGTCCAGTGAGTGACACACACATACGTACACACACACACACACACGTTTTAATGTGTATATCTGTGTGTGTGTTTTTAATGTGTGTGTATGTTTTCCAGTGGCGTCTGTGACGTTTGATGAAGAAAGAGGATCAGAGGAAGAGACAGAAACACACTCCACCTCCGCTGCCCTCGACATTCCCTCCTCCTCCCATCATCCCTACTCCTCTTCCTCATCCCTCCATCCCTACCCCTCCACCCCTCTGGACCTGCCCTACCCCTATCCCTCCTCCTCCTTCACCCCCTCTGTCTACCTCTCCTCTGCCCCCTCTCTCCTCTCCTCGTCCTGTCCCAGTGCCATGGAGGGACCCAGTCCTGGCGGCTGGCTAAGCCCAGAGTCGATGTGTGGTTCTGGGCATGACTGTCATCTCTTCGGCCCCCGCTCCCAGTGCAGTGGGGCCTCCTCTCCAGACACAGACTGCGACCAAGAGAGAGGTATGTGTGTCTTCCAGTGACTGTGATTATTGGGTTACTACACTGAACAAAAATATAAACGCAACATGCAACAATTTCAAAGATTTTACTGAGTTACAGTTCACATAAGACAATCAGTCAATTGAAATAAATAAATTAGGCCCTAATCTATGGATTTCACATGACTGGGAATACAGATATGCATCTGTTGGTCACAGATACCTAAAAAAAAAAAAAAGTAGGGGCGTGGATCAGAAAACCAGTCAGTGTCTGGTGTGACCAACATTTGCCTCATGCAGTGCGACACATCTCCTTCGCATAGAGTTGATCAGGCTGTTGATTGTGACCTGTGGAATGTTTTCCCACTGCTCTTCAATGGCTGTGCGAAGTTGCTGGATATTGGCGGTAACTGGAACAAGCTGTCGTACACGTCGCTCTAAAGCAGCCCAAACATGCTCAATGGGCTTATGGTAGAGAAATGAACATTCAATTATCTGGCAACAGCCCTGGTGGACATTCCTGCAGTCAGCATGCCAATTGCACGCTCCCTCAAAACGTGAGACATCTGTAGCATTGTGTTGTGTGACAAAACTGCACATTTTAAAGTGGCCTTTTATTGTCCTCAGCACAAGGTGCACCTGTGTAATGATCATGCTGTTTAATCAGCTTCTTGATATGCCACACCTGTCAGGTGGATGGATTACCTTGTCAAAGGAGAAATGCTCACTAACAGGGATGTAAACTAATTTAAGCACAACATTTGAGAGAAATAAGCTTTTTGTGCACATGGAACATTTCTAAGATCTTTTATTTCAGCTTATGAAACATGGGACCAATACTTTACATGTTGCGTTAATATTTTTGTTCAGTGTAGTTAAAGGATTGCATTTTAGAAAACAAGCTTATTCACCTTTTACCCTGCTTTGTGTGCGCGTGCGTGTGTGTGTGTGCATGTGTTTGTGCGTGTGCGTGTGTTTGTGCGTGTGTGCATGGGTGCGTGCGTGTGTGTGTGTGTGTGTGTAGGTGACAGAGCAGAGGGAGAAGAGCAGAAGTTGGAGCCTGGTCTGAGTAAGCTGACCCTGACCAAAACACACCCATTGCATCCTGGGAACGACGACCCCAAAGGTGACCCTAAGACGATCTCCAGCCCCGCCCCCACAACCCATAGCCCCGCCCCCATCATCCTCCTGACCAAAAGCGTCTAACGGACAGACGGCTTCAGCTCTCACATCGTACCATTGACTCATGACCTTTAACCCTGAACTCTGACTATCAGCCTTTCTATGAACTTCAGTCTGGACTTCAGTGACATTATGTGTTTTTGTTCACTCCAGAGGCAAATCTGAAATCACCCCCTATTCCATAAATAGGAAATAAGGTGGAAATCAGTGGAGGCTGGTGGGAGTAGCTATAGGAGGATGGGCTCATTGTAATGGCTGGAATGGAATTAATGGAACGGAGTCCAACATGTGGTTTCCATGGCGATGTGTTTGATGCCGTTCTATTTCATTCCAGCCATTACAATGAGCCCGTCCTCCTATAGCTCCTCCCACCAGACTCCACTGGTGGAACTAGGGTTCCATTTTGGATCTTGTCCAGAACTGATCGGGAAGAATCTGGAAGGGGAAGTCAACATGATGGATAACTAGGGATTGTGGGGGAGCATAGCCAGGCGAGTCTATCATCAACTCCTTAAAACACTGGCATAGCCAGCCCAGTCGATCATCAACTCCTTAAAAGATTTGAAGGGAGGGTGTGAAAGAGACTCTTCACACTTGTCACAAAGGGTGCACGTGCACACTTCCTCTCATGGACTTAAAAGCAATGGATTGTGTAAGCTGGAGGAAGTTTCCACTATTGTTAATTGTTGGAATGACCCTGGAGAGAGATGTAGATGTGACTGTTGACTTCTGGTCTCAGTGGGGATTCCCCAGAGGGGACAACAGGAGGACAGAGACTGTGACATCACACCACTGAACCCTGGACTTCTGAGCACCCCTGATACCACAGTGTGTGTGTGAAGGGCAGAGGTTACTGTGGTCTCAGCGTGTGTGTTTGGGTGTCAGAGGAACAGCATGTTACTGCAGTTTTTCTCCCTCACATAGGCTGACTGGGATGGTTTGCAATTACTATGTGTTGTGCATGTTTGTGTGTGTGTGTGTGTGGTTGTGTGTGGTTGTGTGTGTCTGTGTGTGTCTGTGTGGTAGGTAGAGTGACAGTGTGTGTTTGTGTGTGGTTGTGTGTGGTTGTGTGTGTCTGTGTGTGTCTGTGTGGTAGGTAGCGTGACAGTGTGTGTAGAGACGGTTTCAGTGCAGTTGTAGTGTTGGTGTATTACTCCTGTATAGGGAGAGGACAGCCTGCCTCTTGTTAGTAGAGATCCTATATGTATACTCTGTGTCTCTGATCTACACTACTATGTATCTGTTGTTCTTATAAAACATATCTGAGATGTTTGTTTCTGCGTGACTGACACTGACACACTGTAGCGTCACAACCAGGAACCCCCCCCCCCCCCCTCCCCTCCCCTCTCATAGACCCTCCCCCAACACACACGTTAAAACCCCAAAGTCACCATTGGGTCACCTCCTCAATGCTAAGGGATGGAAACAAACACTACCTGACACACACACTGGCGAGAGATTTCTACCTGCTGCTCTCTCAACTGTTGCAGTGTTATCTCATGACCCGAGTTAGAGCTCTGAGACGCCTTGCTGACAGAATGAATTCGGCGCACACACACACACACACACACACGGTGCTGTGTCTCACACTTACCAGGCTTAACAGCATAACCACTGATGTGTGATTTGACTTGGCATACATAACAGTCTCTCTCTGTGTGTTCAGTTGTTGGTCTATATGAGTTCATATGAGCCTCCACCTCAACAGCTGAATAATTATGTAATTGTAAGAAATGGTTGAGTTTTGAAACGACTGAATGGCTGGTTTTAGTGAGAATGGCGATGGCTGCCAAAGGGCTCCTGTCAGAGAGACTCAGATTCAGGTCTTCTCTGTGATCAGTTTTATTATGGCAGTTCAATCATCGGAGAACAATGTAGTAATATGTATGGTTCTAGGAACAAAGGAAACAAGTGGCTGTTATCAAATCAACACATCCACAATAGACAAAAGCAGGCTTCAATTACCCTAGCTTACACAGTTCCACAATACAAATTTACCATATACTGCTACCCCAAAAGTGCTAAGAGCAGCAATACTTTAAAAAAGTAGAGCCGTGGATCAGAAAACCAGTCAGTATCTGGTGTGACCACCATTTGCCTCATGCAGCGCGATACATCTACATCGTATAGAGTTGATCAGGCTGTTGATTGTGGCCTGTGGAATGTTTTCCCAAGCCTCTTCAATGGCTGTGCGAAGTTGCTGGATATTGTCGGCAACTGGAACACGCTGTCGTACATGTCAATCCAGAGCATCCCACACATGCTCAATGGGTGACATGTCTGGTGAGTATGCAGGCCATGGAAGAACTGGGACATTTTCAGCTTCCTGGAATTGTGTACAGATCCTTGCGACGGGTAGGCCTGTGCTTTTTGCCATTTTCTTTAACCCTTGGCCTACAATGGTCGCGCCCCCGTGGAAATTTCAATGAACATAATAAAAAAAATCCCCATTAAAATCTGTCTGTTTAAGATAGTGATACGTGTTATTTTTTTGTTGCATGGGCTGCTTCTCAATTCACCGCATCCACTGAAATCGCCCTTCTGCATCTGCGGTGAAAGGTGGCAGAGCTAGAGCGGTGTTTGTCAGACCAGGAGACATCCTGAAATTTGGCCTACAAACTATTATGCCCTAGGGTGCCCACAAGACTCATCTGAATGTCCCCGGTACCAGTTAAAACAATGAATGGAAGTATAAATGGACATAGTTTAGTGCCTAAAATATGGGGATAAATAATAATTAATAAATACATGTAAAAATATAATAATAATGTTCCCCGATCTTTCAAATATATCTCTCAGATATAGGACAGACACTTCAGAACAAACTTCCTTTAGATTTATTTGGGGACTGTCTTTTGTTCCATGTAGTGAATCTGTGTCACGCCCTGATCGAGAGAACTCTCGTTGGTTGGGTCAGGGTGTGAGTTTTCTGTTGAGATCTATGTTAGTGTATTTCTATGTGGTAGATCTAGGTTGTATTTCTATGTTTGGCCGGGTGTGATTCCCAATCAGAGGCAGCTGTCGCTCGTTGTCTCTGATTGGGGATCATACTTTAGTAGCCTGTTTGCCTACCTTAGTGGTGGGATCTTGTTCCGTGTTTCGGCTTGTATGTGTATAGCCTGAGGACTTCACGTTACGTTGTTTATTGTTTTGTTCTATGTTTATTGAGTTAATAAACATGTACGCTTTTCACGCTGCACCTTGGTCCGACCCGTCTCTCAACGATCGTGACAATCTGTTAGTCAATGCGTTTCTATTGGCTAATAGCAGTAATGTTTCATCCAATAATTTTATATTTGTTTTGATACCTTAAGGGGTCTTAAAATTCCAAATCAAATAGCTAAATGGTCCTTGGTATGACCATCTTAAAACAATTCCATATGTTAGCTTATAATCCCCCCCTTCCCAGCTTAGACAGGGCTTAGACTCTATAGGGTTAATAAAAGGTAGGCCTATGGCATACCCTCTCATACCCCCTCAATTCGAGTCTTGGTTTTAACTTAACAGGTACCCATAGTCTTATAGAGAGAAGGCTATTCACTCGTTCTATGAGAAGACTAGAGCGAGGGCGTAACGGTACCATGGAAAGCCCCGCTGACAGCTGTCTGTAGGTATTTAGAAGAAATGTCTACGTGGTCTGTAGCCACTACAAATAACACGAGGTGTTCTTTATATGTATAGCAAGTAGCGGCAAGAGAACCGTCAAAGATACATATGGTGCATAGCAAGTAACAACAAGAGAACCGTCAAAGATACATATGGTGCATAGCAAGTAACAACAAGAGAACCGTCAAAGATACATATGGTGCATAGCAAGTAACAACAAGAGAACCGTCAAAGATACATATGGTGCATAGCAAGTAACAACAAGAGAACCGTCAAAGATACATATGGTGCATAGCAAGTAACAACAAGAGAACCGTCAAAGATACATATGGTGCATAGCAAGTAACAACAAGAGAACCTTCGAAGATACATATGGTGCATAGCAAGTAACAACAAGAGAACCGTCGAAGATACATATGGTGCATTGCAAGTAACAACAAGAGAACCGTCAAAGATACATATGGTGCATAGCAAGTAACAACAAGATAACCTTCGAAGATACATATGGTGCATAGCAAGTAACAACAAGAGAATCGTTGAACATGAGGTAACAAGGGAGATTACCGAGTGTGTTTGGGAATAGTAGTAAGTGAATGTGGATGTGAAAGTTGTGTGATTGTGAGATATGACATATTAAACTGATTTGAAAATTGGATAACAAGATTGAAATAGGGATAATAAGCTGATTGAAAATTGGATAATAAGATATTGAAATGTAGCTATTAAGTACTGAGTGAACGAGAGCTGTCAGGGGACTAGCTCACATGTGAAAGAGGTGAATGAATACCACAACCAGTTCTGTGTGAGTTGAGTTTTTCAATCTGTAACGTTATCTAGGGTTCTGTCCATCACCGCCCGTAGATCCATTCAAGTAACATGTCTAAGAGGCTAATATGTCTTGATTAGTAACGAGGATAACATGATAACATGTCTCATTAGAGGATACCATGATTACACCTATCATTAATAACGAGGATAACATGTCTCTGAGGGTAACATGACTTTAGATTACATGAGGATAACATGACTCATCAGTGGAGTTTGATGGTATAACGGTATTATGTATTTGGAGATATGAAAGGAGAAAGTACTATTCCCGAATATGCTGTTAAATAGAACACTAGAGTGAATATTCAAACCCCTGTATGAATAGAACACTGGTGTAGAGGAGGAATTTGTGATGTAACACAAATGTATAATGGGTTACTAGATATATAATAATATACAACATGCACACCCACACGTAAGACGTACATAAGTGGTGTAAAAAGTATTCTGAGGAATGTTCAGAGTGGTCCCTTTATGGATCATTTGAGAAAGATAAGGTTAACCTCTACAGGATCGGTGTGTAAACTTACAAAATGCTCCTCCTGATTGCTACCGTAGGCCTACGTAGCACAGCCATTGGTTAGGCAGCACACAAAAACATTTTTTTGATCAGCAAGAGCAGAGCAGGGCTCACGGTTGGAATATCCAGCAGCCATCTTAGAAATATAACTTTGCTCTGTGCTTCTCCGAGCATGCAATTCATAGCCTATAGTATGGAGAAATGTAAAAGAAAAATGTATGCACTCACTAACTGTAAGTCGCTCTGGATAAGAGCGTCTGCTAAATGACTAAAATGTAAAATGTATAGCTCATTTGATTGAGACCACACTAAATACCCATAGGCGCACTTGATATTGCACACACAGCAGCAAATCAGCGATGTGGGGAGGCATCGGGCACAGTATAGCCTAATAAGCAAAAAAAATATTAAAACACTGAGAAATATAGAAATTGAATAAATTACAAATTACATGACCTTCCCCCGGAATAGATTTTAAAAATACTACACACACCCATTGGCTGAAATGGAAAAAGCAGGACCCTCCCCCATTTTACTCCAGGTAACCATTCTGTACATTTAGATCCATCCCTAACCACTGTGTACTTGAGAAAACAACTCCAGTGCAATAGTTTTCTAGACTCCACAATGCCTTTTATGTATCTTACACCAATGTTACTTAACCATGATGATGGTCTGTTGACAGAAACCTTGGTTTGATCCATAAACTAATTGTGACAAGAAGAATAGCGTGCTGCTGGAGTTTTTTTCCTTTAACACTTTGCATGTCATAAGGTGTACGAAAAAACTAAACTTTTCTATTGGGGCAACCGCTAGTATTTACCCTGAGCCAAAAATACTGGACAAAACAAAAATATATTTTGCTACTGTATATTTACAGTGAGCTGCTGCCTCCTAGCGGTCATGCCGCAGCACTGCATGGGCTCACACAGAAGAACACGCCCTCAGACAAGCCAACAGCCTATCACCGAAGGCTGGAACGATGACAGATGCACATTTCAACCAACCATTAGTCAACACCCCGTACAGTAACTAGGTGGCGGCAATACAACAATAGGTGTAGTCTGCCATAAAACCTTATAGGAGAAGATGAAGAAGAAGAAACAGGGCAGTAGAAAGAACAACAAACATTTATTAGCGATAGCTACAGTAGCTAGTTACAATGTAACAACAACGTGTTAATATTGCATCCATTCTATCAACAGCTATACTTTTGTGAAACTCACGACGTAATTGTGAAGCAGGTCAGAATTAGAAACAACCTCGCAGTATTATTTGTTTAACGAGTGTTACTTTGGACTGAGTGACCATTGAACTCGTACTCACCGGTCCTCCCTATCAGAAGTCCGAAGTTCCCCACCTATCCCGGGCTCTGGTCAGTCAGCCATGTCCCTCCGTGCCGTGGCGGTGGTGGCTGTCCTCTGTCTGTTCCCGGTAACGTTAACCCGGGCTGGGGACAGGACAGATGGGTCTCGCGGCCAATCCTACGTGGCGGCGGTCTACGAGCACCGGGTGATTCTGAACCCGGCGCCGCACGTGCCTCTGTCCCGGGCGGCGGCGCTCAAGCACATGATGAGCAACCTGGATGTGTACGAGGAGCAGGCCGCGCGAGCGGCGGAACAGGTGGGCTACCTTTGGGAGGGACTGGGAGATGGTCTTCTCTTTCAATTAACATAACCAGATGCTGTTAGTGCAGGGCTGAAACTAAAGCCTGCACACCATGCTGCTAAACTCTTCAGGACTGGGTTACACTTGCCTTTGACAGGAAGGATACACATCAATCTTGCTTGAAGTGCTAGAGTTAGCTTTAAAGCTCTCTTTCCCCTTTCGAGTCTCAACCCATTCCCTATTTCTCTCTCTTTCAGGGGGCTCAGATCATAGTATTTCCAGAGGACGGTCTCCAGGGGTTTAACTTCAGTCGTCTGTCCATCTCTGCTTACCTAGAGACCATCCCTGACCCACAGTCTGAGGACTGGAACCCCTGTACACAGACAGACAGACATAATCACACTGAGGTATGTACAGGGCCGGCTCCAGAACGAATCAGTTGGACAGGCCTTTGATTTCCATAGGCGGGCATGCGCGTTCACAATTTAAAAAAATGGGGGTTATAGTAAAGTAAATAGACAGCTAGTGAGTTTCATGTTTGGGGAAGCTTACAATTTATCCTACCATTTCTACCGATCTGTGTGCCAGTTATGACTATTTCTATATGCGCATTTTCGTGGAACAGTTTCATTTCAATAATGACGTTTTAATTTTTCAAAATCATTGTCACGTGGTTAATCATAAAAATATGAAGAAAAACGTTAAAATTCAACTAAGGCAATGGTACCAGCCTCTGCCATATGGACATTGATGCACTGATCTATTGGCAGCTAAAGAAATGAGGGCATGGAACTCAGAGATAGCCTATAGGCCAATGCAGCAGTAGGCCTATAACTTCCATAGTCAACTAAGTAAAATACATACAGTACCAGTCCAAACACACCTACTCATTTCAAGAGTTTTTCTTTATTTTTACTATTTTCTACATTGTAGAATAATAGTGAAGATATCAAAACTATGAAATAACACATATGGAATCATGTAGTAGCCAAAAAAGTGTTAAACAAATAAAAGTATATTTTATATTTGAGATTCTTCAAAGTAGCCACCCTTTGCCTTGATGACAGCTTTTCACACTCTTGGCATTCTCTCAACCAGCTTCATGAGGAATGATTTTCCAACAGTCTTCAAGGAGTTCCCACATATCAATCAATCAATCAAATTATATTTATAAAGCCCTTTTTACATCAGCCGATGTCACAAAGTGCTATACAGAAACCCAGCCTAAAACCCCAAACAGCAAGCACTGCAGATGTAGAAGCACGGTGGCAAGGAAAAACTCCCTAGAAAGTCAGGAACCTAGGAAGAAACCTAGAGAGGAACCAGGCTCTGAGGGGTGGCCAGTCCCCTTCTGGCTGTGCCGGGTGGAGATTATAACAGTACATGGCCATTAAGACCAGATTTTTCTCCAAGATGTTCTAACGTTCATAGATGACCAGCAGGGTCAAATAATAATCACGGTGGTTGTAGAGGTTGCAACAGGTCAGTACATCAGGAGTAAATGTCACTTGGCATTTAGAGGTTGAAATAGCAGGTGCGGTAGAGAGAGAGAGTTGAAAACAGCAGGTCTGGGACAAGGTAGCACGTCCGGTGAACAGGTCAGGGTTCCATAGCCGCAGGCAGAAGAGTGGAAACTGGAGCAGCAGCACGACCAGGTGGACTGGGGACAGCCAGGAGTCATCAGGCCAGGTAGTCCTGAGGCGTGGTCCTAGGGCTCAGGTCCTCCGGGATGCTGAGCACTGCTTTTCCTTCACTCTGCGGTCCAGCTCATCCCAAACCATCTCAATTGGGTTGAGGTCGGGTGATTGTGGAGGCCAGGTCATCTGATGCAGCATTCCATCACTCTCCTTGGTCAAATAGCCCTTACACAGCCTGGAGGTGTGTTTTTGGGTCATTGTCCTGTTGAAAAACAAATGATAGTCTCACTAAGCGCAAACCAGATGGGATGGCGTATCGCTGCAGAATGCTGTGGTAGCCATGCTGGTTAAGTGTGCCTTGAATTCTAAATAAATCACAGACAGTGTCACCAGAAAAGCACCCCCACACCATCACACCTCCTCCTCCATGCTTCACGGTGGGAACCACACATGCGGATATCATCCGTTCACCTACTCTGCGTCTCAAAAAGACACAGCGGTTTGAAACCAAAAATCTCACATTTGGACTCATCAGACCAAAGGACAGATTTCCACCGGTCTAATGTCCATTGCTCGTGTTTCTTGGCCCAAGCAAGTCTATTCTTCTTAATGGTCTCCTTTAGTAGTGGTTTCTTTGCAGCAATTCGACCATGAAGGCCTGATTCACACAGTCTCCTCTGAACAGTTGATGTTGAGATGTCTGTTACTTGAACTCTGTGAAGCATTTATTTGGGCTGCAATCTGAGGTGCAGTTAACTCTAATGAACTCATCCTCTGCAGCAGAGGTAACTCAGGGTCTTCCTTTCCTGTGGCGGTCCTCATGAGAGCCAGTTTCATCATAGCGCTTGATAGTTTTTACGACTTTCTTGAAATGTTCCGTATTGACTGACCTTCATGTCTTAAAGTAATGATGGACTGTCGTGTCTCTTTGCTTATTTGAGCTGTTCTTGCCATAATATGGACTTGGTCTTTTACCAAATAGGGCTATCTTCTGTATACCACCCCTACCTTGTCACAACACAACTGATTGGCTCAAACGCATTAAGAAGGAAAGAAATTCCACAAATTAACTTTTAACAAGTCACACCTGTTAATTGAAATGCATTCCAGGTGACTACCTCATGAAGCTGGTTGAGAGAATGCCAAGAGTGTGCAACACTGTCATCAAGGCATGGGTCGGCAGGTAGCTTAGTGGGTAAGAGCGTTGTGCCAGTAACCGAAAGGTCGCTGGTTCTAATCCCCGAGCCGACTAGGTGAAAAATCTGTCGATGTGCCCTTAAGCAAGGCACTTAACCCTAATTGCTCCTGTAAGTCGCTCTGGATAAGAGCATCTGCTAAATGACTAAAATGTAAATGTAAATGTAAGGCAAAGGGTGGCTACTTTGAAGAATCTCACTTTTTTGGTTGCTACCTGATTCCATACGTGTTATTTCATAGTTTTGATGTCTTCACTATTATTCTACAATGTAGAAAATAGTAAAAATAAAGAAAAACCCTGGAATGAGTGGGTGTGTCCAAACGTTTGACTGGTACTGAAGGTCTAAAGCCGACAAAGAACAGTAGAAAATATCCTGATGAAAATTCTGGTTCTTTCAATCCCATTCATCTCTCTACTCCGCCTGTCTGCCTCCCTCCCTCCCTCTCTGCCTTGACTTGAGCTAATTCTAGTGAAGTGCAACATTGTATCAAATCATCAACTGGGTCAGCTGGAAGCTGTCTCTAGCGAACATGCAACATTATATAAACTAGCCTATTCTGGGCCCTCAGAGTTTCCCAAGCCAGTGACCTCGGACAGACACGTTTTTGTTTATGACGTTCCACTTGATGTGGAATCATCAGATCATGATATTTTGCTAATTCACACCGAAACTGGGTGATTATCGAGGCTGGGAGTGTTGGAAAGATTTTTCAAATACTGAGGAACTATCACTCGAAATGGATGTAAAAAAAAAATGACTTAGTTTAATTACTGTTTGAGGTGAAGAAAAAAGGACTGAGCAGCTCAGCTTATTGGTGGTGGATGTGGTGAGTTATGACAATCAGAAATCACACATTGCCAAATGGGCACTTTCCTACTTTTGCACGCAGCAGACCAGATAGGCCTACTTCTGTGTGTGCTCAGGCAGGCTCCCTCAACGTTATCAGGAAAGAGAAACCAGACACATGCTCATTGCTGACATGGAGCACTCCAAACAAAATACAAAATAAAACATTTACAAAACTCGTAATGGTTATGAAATAAACCAAAACTTGTTTCTTACAAGTGTAGCAGGTTGTGAACTCCGCAAACAATGAGAACGGTAAATTACTGTAAATAATACCAGTGGAGGCTGGTGGGAGTAGCTATAGGAGGATGGGCTCATTGTAATGGCTGGAATGGAATTAATGGAACGAAGTCAAACATGTGGTTTCCATATGGTTCATTTATTCCATTCCAGCCATTACAATGTATCCAAGATGGCGTAGCAGTGCGGTCGGGTTTTTTTTCTGTGTCCTAGTGTAAATAGCCAGTTTCTTGTTATTTTGTCTATTTTGTATATATTTCTCAATTTTACTTTTCATTCTTTAACTAAATATACTTTCCTGCAACCCGCCTCACCCAACGTGGAAAGGATTATATTATTTCTTTATAATTTTCATCAAGAACCTTAAGCTGAAACTAGTCTAGCTGCAACTGAATGGCTACTTGCTATTAGCCACCGTTAGCGTCTTCACCATTGTCCGTGGCCTACACTATCCACCAGCCAGCTCTAGCTCTAGCCTGGACAATTCGTCGGCCAGTCTGCACAGCGTGCTATCGACTCAGAGCATATCGGACTTTCTGCCGGAATCACTGGACTCTAGCGCCGGATCATCGCAACCAGCTAGCTGCAACCTGTTGTTGGCTAATTACCATTGCCCCATAGCAAGCACCAGTTAGCCTTGAGCTAGCCTCAGGCCCATCTCCCGGCTATCTACCTCTCTGTCAACCGGACGGGACCTCCTAGTGTTGACACTGAGCCCCGCCGATCCAACACGACTGGTTTGCCGACGAAATCGTCTGATGTGGTTTCAACAGGCTTCCCGTTGCGACGACCTTGAAGATCCATCTGCTAGCCCCGGCCCGCTAGCACACGCAAACTACAACTGTGCTTCCTGCTAGCTGTGCTGAAGCACCAATTTGAACTGCTCTCGGACTCACATATTGCTGTTCACTGGACCTTATGATCACTCAGCTGCACAGCTGATGCCTGCTGGACTGTTCCTTTACACGGTACCCTGTCCTGTTTATTCTGTTTAGCCTCAGCCCAAACTTTATCGCTATTACCACTTGTTGTCTTAGCTCTCTCTAATAACACCTGTGATTGCTTTATGCCTCTCTCCCATGTCAATATGCCTTGCCTATTGCTGTTTGGGTTAGTTCTTATTATATAATTTCACTGTAGAACCCCAAGTCCCTCTCAAACTGCCTCAAATAGTTCCTTTGTTCCACCCCCCATACACGCCGAGACCGGCTCAATCGGTGCCTCCAGTGATGCTCTCTTTCATTGTTACCCAACGCTTAGGTTTACCTCAACTGTACTCATATCCTTCCATATCCTTTTCTGTACATAATGCCCTGAATCTTTTCTACAACGCCCGGAAATCTGCCCCCTTTATTCTCTGTACCCAACGCACTAGAAGACCAGTTCTTAAAGCCTTTAGTCATATCCTTATTCTACTCCTCCTCTGTTGAT